ACTTCGTGAGTGAGAATATGTTCATTATCTTAATTGCAGTAATTGTTTCATGGGTGTATACAAATATCCAAACTTATCAAATTTTATACTTTAAACACATGTAGTTTATTATATGTCGATTATATTTCAATAAAGCTCTTAACTTTTAAGATGTATTAAAATTTAGTAAAATTAAAAGTTGAGTTCATCAGTTACACTAGCCACATTTCAAGTTTTTAATAGCTAGCTACATGTGGCTACCGGTTACCATTTTTGGACATCATAAGTATAGAACATTTCTATCACTGCTCGAAATATAGCACTATCTAACACATACATAAAATAGTATCTGTTTCTTTCATTCCTCCTACATCTATCTACCCCAACCTTCAAGAATTGAAATAAGCATGGCAGCATGAAACTGATAAAGTAACTGAGAATTTTTAAAAGCATATTTTATTAAGTTTAATGTAACTTTAACATAAAACATAACTTCTATTCATATACGTGTGTGTGTATGTTTCCTCATTTAGATATCACAGCTTCTATGAATTACACTTAATTAGTTTTCTCCAAAGCTCAAGTTGAAGGCAATTTTAAACTAAATGACATGAAAAGAAATGAAACAGATAGTTCCCACTCGGAACTTAATTTATCCTTGTAATAAAAGTGGTTATAGCTTCAATATAACTCCTATAAGAGAACATTTTTTTCATATACGCACAGACACTTTGTGAGTTAACTTTTTGTTCTGTTTCCGAATATGCTACATAATGCAACTGAATTTTCCTATTTAAAGAATCAAGCATATACCTCACAACGAATATAATCAGAAGTTTTAAATGTGAGAACAGACATTAAGAAAGAACACTGTGGTATGCACTGAAATGCTTAACATTCAAAGAAAAGTTCATAAAATTAGGACAGAGAAGTTGTACAAACTTAGTATTCTCACTGAAGCTTTTTTCCTTCTCTCACTAGAGCCTTCAGTTTTGAGAGGGGTGATTTTATTTAAAAAGATTTAAACTCTATTTTCTGCCCCAACCCTTGCAGCCCATGGGCTTGGAAGGCAGTGTCTGTGTTTGCTCCATGTTTTTGTTTCCATATACAGAATGCAGGGCTGAAATCCTCAACCGTCCCTGTTCCAAAGCGTGATACACTTAACCCTTTATGCACTTTGATGTCTGAGTCATCTTTGTCTTAGAAATGGAATATAGAAAAAGGCAACTGGGGTGGGGGGAGAAAGGAGGCTGGTGGCCAGTGGATACCAACTAAGACAAGCCCTAAACAGTGTCTTGTAGTAGATAAGCAAGAAGTATAAAAATAGAAACCAAGTCCCTCTGTTGTTTGCAGAAGCAGAACTCACAAGCCAGTTTCACTTACTTTTTTACACCGACAGAGCCATTTTCCTTGTTTTCCATGTCAACAGATAGCATGGGAAGGCTGCAGGTTCCTTTACTTCAGCAACTAATCAATAAGGGAAAAAAGCTTGTGTTTAATTCTTAGAAAGTGAGAGAAGAATATATATTCTAAATCGGAAACATAATGGTTCCTTTTACAGCTTCACACCAGTTCACGTATGTTTGTTTAAATCTCCAGTTCCCTCAGCGTTAGGAGAGACGTGATTAAACCTAAAGAACTGGAGGAGACGGATTGGGGTGCTTGCATCTGTACTGGCACTCCTTGCCTTGACAATAAGCATTTGCAAATAAAATTGAATCCTTGTTCAAAACAAGTGCTGTGTGAACTGGCACAGCATCCTCTGGGTGCCAAGCTCTCACTTAAGACATTGCAACTCATAAACGAGTCAAAGTCGAGAAAAACAAACCCCCTTTCTCTGCCCCTTCTCGCCATGGGCTGTGATTTCTTTTTTCTTATTGCATTTTTTTTTGGTCCACTCCCAATCAATCTTCCTTTATTTTTTTCATTGCAATGCAAAAGAGCACTTAAAGCTTTTGTCAGCAAGTATCCCCCTATCTCACATACTCTCAACGAAAGCCTCAAAAACCTATGAGATGACCATGCTTTGGTAAGCTGAAAGCTCATAAAAATGTCAGATAGCCCTTAGCACAGAAAGGTGGTGCTGAGGTGTGTGTGTGTGTGTGTGTGTGTGTGTGTGTGTGTGTGTGTGTAAGAGAGGGTAGCAGCTAATTAGATTTATGTAAAAAGATCACCAAAACATTCAAGGATATATAATAGCATCCATCACTTTGTCTTTTTGTTTAGTAAGATGAGGTCTGAAAAAATTTAAAAATCTCCACAATTAATAGGCAATTAGCAAGATGAAAAAGCTATGAACAAAACTGCTTAAAAAAAAAAACTAGTTCTGAAACGTGCTCGTTCTGCTACAGCTGAAGCCATAAATTAAATACATTTTCGCTCAAATCACTTTATAGTTCGGCACTCTTTCTCTAGGGATTACTCTGACACGACAAGTGCATCATTTAGCATATTCACAAGATTTTATCACTGTTAGAGAAGTAGATGATTAAAAAATAATACTGTAAGTGTGGGATAATCTTCACTCCTGATACACTGATAAACACACACACACATACACAAACTTCCAGTTGCTAAACCACTTAGGTCATTCATAAAGAAATCCAACATTTCATATACATAAAGATATTAACATACATTCACACACCGTTACAGAGTAGACAGAAGATAGTGCTGCTGCTCCATGCCAAAAGAATGATTTCACTTCAGTTGGAAACTGTTAAATATTCACCATTTTCTAAGCATCCCAGAAAACAAAACAAAACAAAACACAATGATACTCTGTAACACTACACTACATTGTCTTCTTCTTATTATTATTTTTTTGTGGAAGAGTAAAAAGAAAACCTACCTAGAAGCAACTAAAACATGTCATTTTTTATAGGCTTATCAAGAACAGCCAAAGAAACCCCAATGTTTTCTTTCACAAAGTAGGCTGGCAAAGGAATTCAATAAGGAGGTACAATTTGACACAGTGAAATAAAACCAGGCTGGCTCTCAGCCAACATGACGTTAGGAATCACACACAAGCTGCACCAACTGCCTTCTGGTTCATGGCTGACTTTTTAAAGCTACAGTGTGCCTGTTCACTTTTGCTAACTACCTTCAGCACAATTAGTGGAAGCGAATGAATTACGAGTCCAAAAACTGCAGAATTCTCTCTGCACCTGTCTTGCACAAAGAAAAACAAACTGTATCAATAGCTTCTTATGTTCTCCCTCCCCTTCATTGTCGCTGCATGATAAGTCTTTGCTGTTGTTCTGAACATGCATGTCATGTTTCAAACTATTTATTTTTCTCCCCTGTGGGAGAAAAAATATAAGAGAAAATAAGAGAAAGAATCCAGTGCTTATGGGCTATATCCAGTGAACATGCAGAAACTGTAGTCCTGTGTTACTCTTTCTAACAGAGACTTGTGAACAAAGTTCCTAAGGCTGGCTTTTAAGTAATCTCTTTGTGAAGATAAGGAAAGCACTGTCCAACAGAAAATCCTTTTACTTCATTATACAGGAAATAACATATTTCAGAGAGGATGCAAAGTAGATGACCAGATCTCCTGAAAACGCCCACATTCTTTCATTTTGGCATTCATCCTCCCAGATGAAGTCAGCAAAATTTCAAAATGAAACAAACCTTATTCTACAAAACAATTAGTTCTGGGAAGTTTAATTTTAACTGCTTATCCCAGTTGCACAAAAAGCATAGTTCGACGAATTCATCTAACAAATTATCTATAAGCACCCAGTATTCTATTAATTACACATGAAAAAGGAAGATACCGTGTCAACCCCTAAATTCATAGTATCTCTCACCACCATCCTAAATCCCAATGCAGGAAACTGGGAGGTGGACTAGAGACACTGGGCATGATCTTTTGATTAAGTTATCCTAGTAAATCTCACAGTTTTCTTGATTGGCTGGGAAACATTCTCATTCCACAAACATGCTGCAGATATACACGAAACATACATAGTCATCATTGAAATAAATACCGATCAATATTTGGACACTTTTAGGCCAAGATGTAAACAAAACCACTCAAGATAATACAGGTTCCCAAGAAGGATCCTAGAAAAAGTCATCTGTTGCTGTGACACTGTACAGATGACAGGCAGAACTGAGGAGAAAGCTGCTGTTCTGTCTTTTCTTTAGTAATTTTTAAGGGCACTAGAAGATCAGCAAATATGATCTAAATTTGCAACCTGAATTTCAAAGTCAATTTTTTTTTCCTCTTACTTAGTCCAGGAATGATATTAGAAAATTTCAATTTCTCAAAAGATCACTGAGAAAGATTTGAAGTGCTCTCCCTGTCCATCTATCATTGCACTCTTGAAAAAGCAAACAATTTAGGGATGTATTCCAAGTGTTCTTATATTTTTGAGTATCATTTACTGAGCATGGGTCAAACAGGAAGGTCTTTTAATATCACTAATGAAACTGATGAATTCTTTTCAAAATAGAGAGCTCTTTCACCAAGAGATTTTATAATGGTTTTGGAATTGATCTGAAATTCTTGAACTGTTCTCCAACTAAATTCAAATGGAAGAGGGCTGGGCTGTTTGAGTCTTGAGGGCAAGGAAGGTGTCCTGATAGTACTGTCTTGCCACTGCTGAGAACAAAATCAGATTAAGCTCCCTACTCTTGAAAGGAGAGGGGTAAAGAAAATGTAGTTACACTCAACTCTTCCTTAGACACACTTACAAGAGGAAGGATTCTGTGAAGAATCTCCAAGAATTTCTTCCTACAGATAGAAAAGGACATCCCCTCCTGTCTTGCCTGTTAGACAAGGATGTTTCAGAAGGCGTATGAAATCAATTCAATTTCATAATAAATGAGCCACAAAGGCATTCTAAATTCTGACACCAGGAGATTTCACTTATCAGCTGGTTTCCAACTTTGGGATAAAGTGACATTTGTGGCTACAAGTATATATACTCGTTCTCACCCACTTCCTCCTCACTCCCTTCAACAAACTGATATTAACCCTCTTTTCTGCTAAAAAAAAAAAAAAAGTGTTTGCAGTGTGTAGCATAAATGGTGTGTGTAATGTATATGTGTGTAATCTAGCTGTGTGTGATGAGTATGTGTGTGCTATCAGTCGTGTGTGTTGTATGTGTGCCTGTGGTATGTGTAGTGTGGTGTGTGCAGGTTTGCAGAATGTGTAGTGTGCATGGCGTGTGTAAGTGTAGATCGAGAGAGATGTAAACAAACAAGACCTTTTTATCCATGATATTATGGAATGTGCTAAAATACCTTTGTTGATCCTTGTGTTGGGATTCTGGGGCACACTTGGGAATGGGCTCAGATGGGAGAGAGGAAGATGGGTCAGGAAGGGAGGGAAACTGGTGCCTCCGTTAGGGTTCTTTTATTGATCAGTACTCATCCCCTAGAGAGGACTTGCCCAGAGATCCAGCGCCTACCCAAAGGAACCACCCGCCCCTGCCTCCCATTCAGAAATCGGCCCCTAAAGAGAGTCCAGCCCGCATCGCAGAGTGCACACCATATGGCTGAAGAAATCTCGAGAAGTCGCCCGAGGGCAGGGTAGAGCTCAACGGGTCCCCAAGGGCGTCTCAAGGGAAAGTGAGGAGCCGCCTGGAGAGGGGGCGCTAGGGGCAGGACAGAAGGGAAGAAGAGGAAACGCCAGAAAGCCTCTTGGACCAGCGGCGCCGTCCGAGAGCCAAACTACTTGCTTGAGGCACTGACGACAGAGGGAAAAGTTTCTGGCCAAGACTTTCAAGAAGAAACGGTTCGTCTTTGAGTTTAGGGTCTCCCCAGGGCAGCCTGTCTTTGAAAAGGGAGTGTGGGGGTGTGGCGCTCGCTTTGCGCCTAGCCGAGCCGTGCCACCACCCGGTTCCATCCTGCGAGCTCTAACCCCGCAGTCCCCGGCGAGCCTCAGCTCTCTGCGGGGCCGAGCACGCTTTTGCCCCCAGTTCCACTCCAGGATGTCAGATTCCACGCTCGTGGGTGCAACAAGCTGCAGGAGCGCCGGGCACACAGCAGAGACGAGGGAGGGCAGGGCAGTTTTTATTGTGATTTTCTTCGTTTCCTTTCATCCTGGATTGGGGAGAGGGCAGGCGCGTTCCCAGTGCCCTCGCAGCACGAGTGGATCACTTACCTCCCCGCGTGGCCGGCGCCGGGAGGCTTTCCCCCGCGCAGAGCTCGGCAGCCGCCACGCGCCCAGCCCCAGTGCAACCGGGCGGGCGCGCGCGGCACGCTGGGACTTGTAGTCCTCCGAGGGCCGGCGGGGCGGGGGGTCCGATGCTGGGGCCACCAGGAAGGGGGAAGGCCAGCAAGGGAAGGGCCGGGGCAGGGGCCTTGTGAATGTAAGGGAGGACGTTTTTAAGAACTTAAAACCTCCAGGGAGCTGAGGGGTGGGCAACAATCCTAGAGAGAATTTAAAAGTGGTGTTTTTTCAGGCTTATACTATATCTTATTCACTCATGGCAACCCTGATGAAATTTTAGGCAGGGTTTTGGAAGTAAGGACAAGCGCCAACTTCATATTATTTAGGGCTATTTCTCCCTTCACTCAGAACACACACGTGGCATTCTCTGGTTGAAACACCTCTTCTGTTGCTCAGAGAATAACTAACTCAGTTGAAGCCTAGTATATGCAAAGTGTGTGTATGGGGGGGGGAGTGAATAATTGCACCTTACATTTGTAGAGCACTCTACAGTTTACAAAGCACTTTTTACTTAATTGGTTCATTATGTTAGCATCATAAAGCAACACTGAGTTAGGCAGAGAAAAACTCAAGATGCAGGGAGACTTTTTGTATTCACATCTACTAAGTTTGGAGATACTCCATACTATACTCTTCATTCTTTCTCCAACCCTATTTTAGTAACTGAGAAGAGAGAGGAGAGTTACAGATAGATGTGATGGGCACAGCGAAAGAAGAGGAGACTGCTGGGAAGGACTTTCTTGAAATAACTGGTAAGTCCTTACTGAATTAAGAGATAAGTAAAACCAAAAGAAGAACCTATGGGTTGGAAGAATAGAGTGAGAAGGAAAAGGCAAATGGGTTAGGGATAGACTGAAGAGAAGGTTTTGATTAGGCTAGAGATGATATAAAAAAGTTGTATATATAAAAAAAGCCAAAACAAAAATCAAGTGAACCTGGAATCCTGGTGTCGCTGGGAGCTAACTCTATGACCTTAGGTAAGTTATTTAATCGCCCCGAACTTCTTTTGCCTCATCTTTAAAATATAAATAATAATAGTTCATCCTTTATAATGTGGCTGCACAGATTAAAATAGTTGGAAAACACTTAGTATAGTGTAATCATTTTAAAATAATATTTATTAA